TATACGAACACGTAGGAATTTTCTAAATATCTTCTTGTTTATTGAATTCTAGTTTAATTTCTATATTGTCAGAGAACATATTTTGCATTATTTTAATACTTTGAAGTTTGATGAGATCTGATTTATGAACCAGTACATGATCTCTTTGGTAAATGTCCCATATGAACTTTAAAAGAATGTGTGATTCTGCAATTATTAGTTGTCAGAGCAATCAGCTTGGCTAATAATACCGTTCAAATCTTCTATATCTTTACTTACTTTTTGTCTGGAATTTTAGAAAATGGAGAAAAATTCCTAGAAAAATACAACGTATTAAAAGTTTCTCAAGAAGGAATGCAAAACCTTTTCAGTACTAATGTAACTATAGCATCATAAGTATTAATGAAATTGAGGTAGCAGTTAAGAATCATCTCACAAAGAAAACATTAGGCACAGACAGTTTTACAGACAAGTTCTACCAAAATTTCAAAGAACTATTCACTCTAATATTTTAGTACAAACTCTTTCTGAGGATAGAAAAGGAAGAATTTGCTAATTCATTTTATAAAGCAAATGTAACTTTGATAATAAAACCAGCCAAAGACAAAATGAGAAAGGAAAATCACAGACTCAACTCATTATGAATATAGATGCCCGATTCCTAAACAAAATTTTAGCAAACTGAATCCAAAAATATATAAATAAGATACTGCACCCTGAGAATGTTAGATTCATACAAAAATGCAAAGATACATTACTCACTACATTAACAGATTAGAGGTGAAAAACATCGTGTCAGTAGAAGCAGAAAAGACATTTGATGAAACTCATTTCCCATTTATGATTTTTAAAACCTCATAGTAAACTAGAAGTAGAAGAGAACTTCCTTAATCTGATAAGATAAAGTGTATGTACCAAACCAGACCAATCTATGACAAATATGCCCTCAAATATTGGAAACATTCACATCAGGAAGTTGTGCCCACTGAAATCAGAAATTATGTCCACTGTTACTTCCATTCAGCATTATATTGAATGTCCAATAATACAAGTAAGAGAAAAGAAATACATAAGGATTAAAAAGGTGGAAATAAAACTGTCGTTATTTGTGGAAATTATTTCTATTTCTATGTTAAAGAAACTCAAAAGTATCTACACAAAGTTTACAGGAAATAATAGTTTAACAAGTGTTCCGATATGAGATTAATATTTTAAGGTCAATTACATTTCTTTAGCCAAGCAACAATTATAAAACAATATTAAAACAACAACAAAGAAACCAGTTATAGTTAACAACAAAAACTAAGATATTAACAATAAACGTAACAAACCTCCTCTCCCCACCACCGCAAATTATAAAAACTATGTTGAAGGGGATTAAAGGCCAAAAATAGATGGAGAGATATCTTCTGTTTATGGATTGGAAGACAATACATAACAGTATTGATGCCTTCCAAATTGGTCTATAAATATTTAATGTAACTTCAAAAAATTCGACTAACATATTGATTCTGATATTTATATGGAAAGAGTCAAAATAGCCAAGACTAATAATAATTAGAATAAGAGAGGCTGGCCATACTGTATGTGATGACTTTTTATAAAGCTATTTTGCTTAAGATAGTGTACTGATATAGACAAATTGGTGAATGGATTAGAATTGAGAGCTCAGAAACAAAGTTATACATATATACATACATACATTATATACGTACATATATATATTACATATATACATATATCTAAAATATGTATACATATAAAACATGAATATACACATATAACATATGTGAGTGTGTATATGCATACAATAGCCAGCCCTGCTGATTTAGTGGTTAAGATTTGGAACTCGCACCACGTGACCCAGGTTTGTTTCCCGGTCAGGGCACGACACCACCTGTCTGTCAGTTCTCATGCTGTGGCAGCTGCGTGCTGCTGTGAAGCTGAAAGCTATGCCACTGGGATTTCAAATACCAGCAGGGTCACCCATGGTGGACAGGTTTCAGTGGAGCTTCCAGACTAGACAGATTAGGAAGAAGGACCTGGCCACCTGCTTCTGAAAAAATTGGCCATGAAAATCCTATGAACAGCAGTGGAGCATTGTCTGATAGAGTGCTGGAAGGTGAGAGAATGGCGCAAAAAGACCGGACAGGGTTCCCCTCTGCTGTCCATAGGGTCGCTAACAACAACAAATGTGTATATACATGTGTGTATAACTCTTATTTATGACAAAGATCACATGGCAGACCACTTGGAAGATGGGGCTTTGATAAATAGAAATTTTGGTACTTATACAGAAAAAGTCAAATTGGATTTCTGTCTTCTTGTATAAATATCAACTACTGATGGATTAAGAACTTAAATATCTCAAGCAAAACTTAAAAACTAGAAGGATATATATGAATGCCTTTCATATCTTATGTCAGGAATAATTTCTTAAATATGACATACAAAATGCTAATCATAAAACAATAAAATCTATTACATTAAATGAGTTACTCTTCATCAATAATAGCTTAAGGAAAGAAAAAGCAAGCTCTAAACCAGAAGATTGTTGCCATACACATAACTAACAAAGGACTAGCATTAAAACATATAAAGAACACTACGCATCAGTAAGGAAAAGGCAACCTGATAGAAAAATGAGCAGAAGGCATGTGCTCACCTCATTAGCATTTAGAGAAATGTGTATCAAGACCCCAGTGAGAGACCATTTTATACCTATGCAACTGACAAAAATTAAGAAGTCAGAGAAAACCAAGTGTCAGAAAGGATACAGATCAATAGGATGTCTAATAAATTGCTGCAAGTGGATGGGGAGTGAAAAATTGTTACAGCTACTTAGAAAAACATTTTTTGCATTGTGTTGTAAAGTTGAATATTTGAAAAAATTACAACCCAGGAATTCCGTTCAGATTGCCTCTTCCATTTATGTAATTTGCTGCAAACAATCTTAGAGAATTATTTCAGTCTAGAAAATTATGATCTAGTTTTCGGCTCCAAAGATGTTTTTCCATCCAAAATATTATGTCTATCTGGGGTCCCTGATTCCCCTGAGTTGTGTACTCAGATCATAACTATCCCAGAGGCAGAAGCTTCATCAAAGAAAATGTATGCTTGTCATCCTCAAAAAGGCCTCTGTGTGAGGCTGAAATTAGGTGGGCTGGCAGTACTGGAATCAAATTTGAATAGGTAGTAATAAATAATAGCGGTATTAATAGCAGTCACCATCGGTCAGCACACAGTTTGACAGACTCTTTGGTTTTCGTTTGATGACGTTACTTCATTTCATCGTCACAAAGCCTCTCTGACATGGGCACAATTTTTGATCCCCTTTTTCAGATGGAGGATAGTAAGCCAATTTCCACAACTTCATATACATGCAAGTTGTAAAGTGGGATTTAAACAAAGACTCTCTGACTCCAGCATCTGGCAATATAGAAGCTATTATCTTTTCAATATAAAATCAATTTTTCTTAACTTTGCAGAGAGAACAACTCTGATTCATGGCCATAGGCAATGGTTCTGTTATCTCCAGATGCTTTGTACTGTTGTTCAGAAAGTATTGGTGTGTGTCTCTGTCTGGCTGCACGCCCAGCTGGGTGAGCAGTGCGGGATAGGTTGCGGAGAGACCAAAGAAAAGACCTGGAGACAGCGAACGAGACATACAGGTTTTTTGGGGGTTACTTGCAGGGAGGTCCAATGGCGGCTGGCTGGACAGCAGTGTGCACCCGCAATCGCAGGCAGGAGGGGTTTTCCTATATAAGCAGGGGACACAAAGCCTATGTGCTTGCCAGGAGGCTGTCCTTGGTACCACCGGCGTTCCCAGGAACAGTCGCTCACATGGAGGGGCTCTCTGTCCCTTTAAGACAGGATATTCTTTAAGTGAGATAAGGTAAGATCTGGGCTGGCCAGGCCCTGGGTTGTTACAAGTCCCTGCAGCTGGGTGTCCTGCCCAGAGGGAGCCAGAAGGACATGTGGTTGTAATGGGCTTGTGGGCTTTTGCTGAGCAAGCAAGGCCCAGGCCGCATAGTCTCCATTAGTGAAAAGCTAGAATTATGTGTTAGATTTGCAATATTTCAATAGCACTACCTTATAGATGAACAGCAATGTCTATAGATATAGTATGTGATCTGAAGCCTCATTTAAAATTATGCCAAGAGATAGGATTGCCTTGTTTTTCTCTCATTATAAGACTGCTTATCAAATAGACATAATGAAAGAGGTCTATTTAAATATATTTTCAAAAATTTAGATGAAAGGTTAAGAGGCCAGTTTGTCTTAAAATTAATATTACTAAGGGTTGATTTGAGGCTAGGCCATATATCTGATCTGAGGAATTAATTGGTATGTGTTTTGACTTTCTGTTCTTCTGATACAAAGCAAATGAGCTCATTTATGTGTTGATTAATAGTTGGTTTCCACTAAAGAAACAGAATATTATAGTAGAAAGGTCTGGGATGAAAGTTTAGGTACCTGGGATCTAATCCCAAATTGACAGTTACTATGTGAACTTGGATATATCACTTCCTAGTGGGTGGGTTCTTGGGAAAGTTACTTAATCCAATTCTTAATTTTCTCGTGTGTCAAAAATACAGATAATAATAAATACTTTGCTGTAATGTTAAAAGGAATAAACAAATAACACAAGAAAACATCTATGGTAGATTGCCTGATATAGAAATTCCATTTTATTTTCAAGGTCAGCTCCATCTTTGGCTTTAGTTTTCTAAGTCTATAATAATACTAATAGCATTTACCATGTACCAGCCACTGTTGTGTGTGTGTTCCATGCATATGTTAACTCACCACAACCTTATGAGGCAGACACAGAGAGGCTAAACAACTTGCCTCAGGAAACTCAGCTAAGAAATGGGGAAGCCTAGATTCAAACCTCAGCAGTCTTGCTCCAGAGCCTGTGTTTTTAACCCTGCGCTGTACTGCCTTTCTAAAGGAAGGGGTTGTAGGCTATATCAGTTATTTATTGGCTGTTATGCTGCATAATAAACACTCACAAAACCTCAGGGGCATAGAACAATAAGCATTCATTGATCCCATGTTGAAATAGTTGTTAGGCGTCTCTGTGGATCTTGGCTGGGCTCCGTCACACGGCTGGGTGGTGGCTTGCTGCGGGGCTTGGTTGTAACTGGGCCGTTTGCCTCTGCTGGAGTGTCTCATCCTGCAGCAGACTAGTCTGGGAATGTTCTTGTGGTGAATGGCACAGGCAAAAGAGCAAAATGGAAACACATAAGTGCTTTTTCAAGCCTGTGCTGTGTCACCTCTGCTAAAGCAAATCACATGGCTGACCCCAGAGTCAGAGGGGGAAGACATTACAAAGTTGCATTACAAGGGCAGTGGATATAAGAACGTGTCGCTTGATGCATTAGAGTTGTTTTGTAATACACCACAAATGCCAAGAGCTAGGGTTCTAAAATTCTTATATATTAAAGATGAGTTCTAAAAGTTGACCTCTGTCAAAAATAGCGTTTCTGACAATTAAATGGAAAACTCAGAAAACATGCATATGCATACACAATCACACTCACACACAAATTTTTAGTAAATAGGCAGAAACTTTTTCCAGGAACACTTGGTTCCATCTGTGATCCCCAGGTGGTGGTGGTGATGATGATAGCTAACCTTAATGAGGTCACTACGTGCCAGGCGCTGTTCTCAGCACTTTACACGCAGTAACTCCCTTAATCCCTACAACACCGCCAGTAAATAGGTACTATTAGCAGTTTCCATTTTACAGATGAAGAAACTGAGAGATTTAGTAATTTCCCGGGGTCACCCAGATTTTTTGTAAGATCCCCACATAAAGTAATTTTCAAAAGTTTATTATTTTTTTACTGAATTAATGTCCATACCTCTCTTGCCATGGATTTGAAGGGCCTCTGTAATCTGGCCCTACCTGATTTAATCATCTGTAACTTCCATTGCTACAAGGTATAATGTTAGATTTTGTAGATGGGATGCATGTGTTGGAGGGAGCTGAACTAGGTGCTTTAGAGATTTTTTCCAGTTTTGAGAATACAGTCGTGTGTCGTTTAACAACAGGGATACGTTCTAAGAAATGTGTCCTTAAGTGATTTCGTCATTGTGTGAACATCACAGAGTGACTTACACACACCTAGATTGTACAGCCTACTATGCACCAGGCTCTTTGGTACTAATCTTAGGGGAACACTGTCGTGTATGTGGTCTGTTGGTGACTGAGACATCATTATGCGACATATGACTGGATGTGATTTTGAGTACCTCTTTGCATTTCCTCTTATGTATGTTTGGCTTTAAAAAGTGTCGCAAGGATCCTTCAGGTGAGTAACTAAACTTATTTCTAGGGGATGAAGAAAGTGTGAACTAGGCCGTTTTCTTCCTCTGCTCCAAAAGCAGAGTGCTTTGCTTTGATTTTCCTTCTCGTTCAGCAGACAGTGATCTCTGCACTACTTAGAGCTTTCTTGAAAACGAAGTTCTATTTGATTCAGTCACATGATCAGAAAGACAAGATGTAAATCTTTTTGAAATATGTGTAAATAACATTAATATATGTCTTCAAAATGAGCATTTCTGATTCCACTGTGCTCCTGTTTCAGATGTTTGAGAGTTGAGAGTTACATACACATTTCTTGGTATTTTGAGATGATTAGCTAAACAAATTGCTGTTTTATTCAATAGGTGGGTTTTCAGAAAAGACATATGAATGGAGCTCAGAAGAGGAGGAGCCAGTGAAAAAGGCAGGACCAGTCCAAGTCCTCATTGTCAAAGATGACCATTCCTTTGAGTTAGATGAAACCGCATTAAATCGGATCCTTCTCTCAGAGGCTGTCAGGGACAAGGAGGTTGTTGCTGTGTCTGTCGCTGGAGCATTTAGAAAAGGAAAGTCATTCCTGATGGACTTCATGTTGAGATACATGTACAGCCAGGTATGTAAGAGGGGCTTGAAAAAGTTTTATTTTTTGTTTGCTTCTGTCACTGTTTTTATTCAGTAGTGTCCATATTTCCATTTCCATTATTATGTGCCCTAAATATGAGGTGGTTAAAAAACGTTATGATATAACCGTTCCAACTTTGGTGCTTTGGGCACAAAACTACATAGGCCACTTTTGCCTGAAGCCACTTTTGCCCAAATCTTATCAAGTATATCTCGCTATTATCCCAGAAAGTGCTCTCGGAGTTCTCATTTGAGACAACAGTGTGGCACAGGAATGAGACTGTCGGGGACCTAGGATAAACCGAAAGCAGGAGGATCAATAGGAGACTAGAGCTGGAGAGAGAAGGTTGGGAATGAAGAGCATACCAGTAGTTTTTTCTACCCTGTTACCTATAGTAATTCTGATGTGAGTATGGATGTTGAGGCAGAATAGACAGGCTACCCAAAGAAACTTTGTATTACGCATTTTATATTATGTATTTGTATTAAGTATTTATACCATAATTATCCATTTTGGATTGATTTTTTATAGTTGGGGTATTTTTGAACAATTTTGTAATGTTAACTAACATCTATCTCTAGCCTCAGTTGGAGCAAATCAAGAATAGAACTACTAAAATCCTTCAGGCTTTGAAAGCAAACAAAACTCTTACCATTCTCTATTTCTAGTATACCAACATTAGTATGCTACTTAACACGGGTGGGGAAAATTGGATGAACAAAATTAGTATACTTTCCATTCTTTGGGATTATACAGTTTTAGGCATAGTCATAGTTTTAACTGTGAAGTAAACGTTAGAATGAAATACTCGATAACACTTGTCCTGTTGCTTGTGTTAAATAACATTTGCCGAGATTAAAGTGTAACAGATTTGTTTTGTTTTTGTTTTTCTACACCTCCCAGTAGCTACCTCTTCTCCTGCTATTCACTTCCTCCTCCCCATAATACCAAAGCATTTGTGTATATTATCATTCTGTATATCCTGACAGAATCTGCTCTCTCACACTTTTATTTCTTTGTTTCTGGAATGCCCTCCCCAATTTTACTCACCTGGAAAATTCCGAAACATTCTTAAAGTCTTAGCTCAAGCATCACCTCTCCTATGAAGTCTTACCTGACAGCTAGTTATTTCTTTTCCTATGCTTCCATTTATGGCTAATGTACACTCCCATTTTGGCGTGCATATATTTCATCATAATGGTTTGTTAGCATGTCTATCTCCCTGTTAGGCTGTTGGCTTCCCCTGGTCTGGAATGATATCTTTGTATCTCCAGGACCTGGCATAAAATGTGGCAGATTGTTGGTCCTCTGTAATTATTTTCTGGATGAATAAAATAATTGTATCAATACAGCAGGTGTGCATATGTTGTTTCCTTTTGAGTAGAGTTGGAGAGGGATACAAATTGGAATGGATGAGTGGAAAAAACTATACTACATATCCAGGTCCATATCAGACTTTCTTAATTTATAGGAATCAGTTGATTGGATTGGAGATTACAATGAACCATTGACTGGTTTTTCATGGAGAGGTGGGTCTGAACGAGAAACCACAGGAATCCAAATATGGAGTGAAGTCTTCCTTATCAATAAACCTGATGGTAAAAAGGTATGATGCGAACTTCTTAAAGAAAGTTGCGTTTCCCTTGGAATCGTTATCACTTTTTGGGATCCTCAAAAATGTTCTTTTGAAAACTAATTTGACGTGAAGATTGAAAGGGAACTGGGTAGCATCCTATTGCGCGTTCTCTGGTCCTCTGTCTGGAGATCAGGGGAGGTGAAATCACAGGGACAGCAGATCAGCAAGCTAACCTCTGTACTTGTTTGTTTCAGTGCTGTTTCTGTTATGTGGGATTACCAGTGAAAATTAATCATTACAGTATTCAGCAGCTGATTAATATTTTTATTTTCTATGACATTCATGGCACATGTAAAAACTTACCTATTAAGGAATCCCTGGTAGTGGCTTGCTTTAGTTCTTAATAGCGTTAACCTTGTGGTGACCCCAGGCCGCTGCGTATTCTGTAACATGTATCTAATGGGCTCTACCTGTCTGTAGGTTGCCGTGCTCCTGATGGATACTCAGGGAACCTTTGACAGCCAGTCAACTCTGAGAGATTCGGCCACAGTGTTTGCCCTTAGCACAATGATCAGCTCAATACAGGTATGGAATAAAATAAATCCATTTCAATGGATGTTCCTTTAACTAAAAATTATAAATATATGTATTTCTACATATGTGTGGCAGTGAGACAAACAATAGAAATGGCAAATCATGTATTATTTGACTCAATTAGCATACTAGTTCTTATGTTTCTATATGAGTACAATTGTTTTTGTTACTGTAATCTAATTTCTGATCGGTTTTCAATTGCCTGCTTTAGTCAGAAAAGGTTATCTTATTAATAATTTTTTCTGTTTAAAGCCTACAATAAACTCAACAATATTAAATCTCATAATGTATGCAGATACATTGGGACCACCTATTGTAAGTTATGTTTAATGAAATAAGATTTATAAATGCAAAATTTTGTTTTACACAGCCAGTAGAAACATTTCTAAATGTAAAAACATTTCTGTGTGTTCATAGCTTTTTAAAACAATTCATACATTTAGGAAAGTAAATGTCTTCTTATAAAGATTTTTATCTTCCTTTCCTTTTTTCTTTCTTTGTCTATTTTTAAGTATGGCTTTTGAGGTTATTGTAGGTTTGTGAATTGTCCTGAAAGTCCTTGGACTGTTTTACCATAACCATAGAACACATAGAATAAAAGATTTTAAGACAATTTTTAGATATTTTCTCTTCACTGGAAAGAGCAAGAAGAAATAGTGGCCAAGCAGCAGACCATTAAAGAAAAGTAGGAAAGGGAGGAAGTCAGAGCTGCTGGGATGAGGGGGTCAAGGCTGACGTTGTAGCGAGTGGAGAGAATGGAGCTGGTGAACCAGGAACCCGTGCATCTGTGTGGTTAGGACGATGAGCGGGTGCTGACAGGTGATTATTTTGTAAAGGACTTTAAAATAAAAGTCATGATTATAACCTATGACTAACTAGCTTTAAAAAATATACTTCTTAAATGAATGCGCTCTTAAAATCCTGAGTTAATATCTAATTTCTTCATAATCGACAGTATAAGCCATTTACACAAGCCAATTAAAACAAGATTGACTTTGTCTTTTTAATATTTATTATTTACTATTTATATTTTGCCTGAAGACATTGAATAGTTTTACTGAAAAATCTGCTAAGTCCTCAGTAATGACTATTTTTTATTATTATCTGAGAAATGATCTGTTCTTAAATACGTACACCAAGTATACTGTTTGTATGAGTACATAAACATATAAGCATCCTTAACTTTTCTTTGAAGTTAATGAAGCAGTAATGCATACATATAAGGATGTGTATGATAATGCGTGATATTTAGAACCTAACTTCCTTCCTTATATAAATTCCTATAGAGGAGTGGAACTCTTGATAGATTTAACCAAAATAATCAATTGTGAAGAAGTCAACATAATTTTTCAAGACAAAATTTTGTTTATGGGTTATTCAGTTCTAGATTGCTATTAATTTGGTGTGCTCACTAGAATGATTATTTTAGGGGCTGGCCCCATGGCCGAGTGGTTAAGTTCATACGCTCTGCTGCAGGCGGCTCAGTGTTTTGTTGGTTCGATTCCTGGGCGCGGACATGGCACTGCTCATCAAACCACACTGAGGCAGCGTCCCACATGCCACAACTAGAAGGACCCACAATGAAGAATATACAACTATGTACCAGGGGGTTTTGGGGAGAAAAAGGAAAAAAATAAAATCTTTAAAAAAAAACCAAACAAACCAGAATGATTATTTTATTGACTAGTTGTTAAATTAGGTTTGTAAAATAATTTTAATATTATGTCTCCAGGGCAGGTGCCTATGGTATTTCTGGAACAATTTTATGATCATTGTACTGTTTATTGTCTCTCAAACTGTCTTTACTCCTCTCTCAAGGTCTTATAAATATCATGATATAAGAATATATGTGCGAGAGTTTGATTTTGTGATAAATGAGATTTAGAAAAATAGAGAATGACAAAGTAAGTGCTTAAGATGATGCTAGTTATTTTCTCATTTTGACTTTGTTTCTTAATCAAGGTATATAACTTATCCCAAAATGTTCAGGAGGATGATCTTCAGCACCTCCAGGTAACAATGTTATACTCTTTATTTACTTATACTCTTTATTTATTTATTTATTTATCGTATATACCAGATGTACAATATCTGGTAATCTTTTGAGCATGTAGAGAAGAATTTCAGGATTTTGTTGGGCCTTCTTCTACCTGGAAAACTTAGTAGTTCAGGAAGATTTAGAAACTTAACCAAGTGGAAGTTATCCTATTTCCAGGATTCTTGTTCCAATCCTGTATGGTTACGTGCTTTCTGATTCAGTTTTCAAATTCCTTTGTTTCTGTAGAGCTACTTGCTGTCAGCCCTGTATATGTGAAAATATATGGCAAGTTAGAGTGGAGAAAGAGTTTTTGATTTAAAAATGACCCAAAATGTGCAGTAGAAGTCTTACGTCAGGAGGTTAATGGCTGTTGGTGTGAGCCCAGTTGTAGGCCAGACTTTTTTCCTGTAGCCCACTTTCTGCCTGAGAACTATCGTCCATCAGCTATTTTATGATAGTCTGTAGAATTCTGTTTTAGATCTGGAAGAGACCTCAGTGACACTAATTTATCCTTCATGTCTTATAGATGAGGAAAATTTACCTAAACTCATTGGCTAATTAGTGGTAGAGTGGGAGTAGAGCTCTGGTCATCTCACTGGGCTCAGTGCCCCTTCCACTCTCCAGGCAGCATTTAAATCTCAAATAAGTAAGAGATGAGATATTTCCTAAAGATAGTTCACTTGTCTGTGACATTCTGCTTTCTTTCAATTCATGTTATTCTTGGTTACATGGCAAGACCTGTTGTTTCTCTGATAGTTTTCCTTGGCATATTTTATAGAAAATTTTGCTTTCAATATATTATTTCATCTTGGCAATAAGAGCCATGTGTAAATTTAGCAGATAACAAAGGATGAGAGAGCAGGATAATCCATGATATTGGAAATAATTTGGAGTTCACGTCCAGCATTACTCCCAAGTATATTTCTAGTACATCACACTTGACCATTTATGACAAATAGGCAATACACCAGATAATTGTCAGGTGTTTCTTATAATAAGTACAATTACTTTTTCAGGCATGTGTCATAACCTAGCCAATTACTTTCTGAGTTAATGACATGGCACCATTCAATGCTAGTTTAAGGATTTCTTTTTTAAAAAAGGACTGATTTTGGACTTTCATATTGAGTAAGTAATCCTTTTTTGAGATCATTTAAAAATATTCCCTAAATGACAACACCTCAACCCTCATCAAAAAAGATTGTGAATTCAGGGCTGGTCTGGTGATGCAGCGGTTAAGTTCACACGTTCCACTTGGGCCGCCCAGGGTTCACCAGTTTGGATCCCGGGTATGGACATGGCACTGCATGGCAGCCATACTGTGGCAGGCGTCCCACGTATAAAGTAAAGGAAGATGGGCATGGATGTTAGCTCAGGGCCAGTCTTCCTCAGCAAAAAAAAAAAAAAAAAAAAAGGCAGATTGGCAGCAGATGTTAGCTCAGGGCTGATCTTCCTCAAAACAAAAAAAAAGATTGTGAATTCAAATTATGTTAGTAGATGATTCTAATGAGAGTGTCTAATCCCTGGACAAGCTGCCTTTTAGATGTGATGTCCCACACTTCCATTTAATCACTCTCATCAGATGCCTAGTAATTCCCCTTTGCTTCCTAGATTCCCATGGCTCCCACGAGAGAGGCAGTGCAGTGCTGTGGAGCTACCCTAAAGGGGCAGGGGGAATTCTCTGTGTCAGCACTCTTCCCCAGCTCTGAGAAGCCACTGCGGCTTGTTGCTCCTGTGGATGAAGTGGCATTTCCTGTGTGCACAGAGGGAACCCTCTCAGCAGGGGCCCAATCACAGCCACCCCCTCACGTCTGCGTTCCCAAAAGCTTACATTTCTGTCAACACAAAAACTGATATGGTGCCTCTTAGTTGGGAGCAGTGAAAAATAAGAGAAGGCAGTGTATCTTTCTCTCCACTTTTTAAGCCAAGTGCCTACATGGTTTTGTAATAATCCAGGCCACTGTGCCGTTAAATTTCCTCAGGCAACAACTTTTGTAAATATATCCTATGTAGTTTATGGCTCTCTGCAAGTTCTGCTTTGAAAAGTCATTGAACATGTTTCTTTCTCCTCCATCTTCCCTAGACAAAATTGTCCTACATTCTAGATATAAAAGATGTTAGCTTTAAAGTGGAAACTTTACTTTTAAAATGTACTTTGTGTCTTTAATTTTTAAATATCCAATTACTGTAGCTCTGCTTTGTCTAATACTTAGTTCCTTAAAATGATTATTACAATGTTAATAACATAGTATTATCTTGCAGCTAGGACAAAAAATGAATGGAAGAAAGTCAAAAAGTAAAACTTTGCAGATACTGAAGTTTTCTCTGTGTGTGTGTGCGCGCGCACGCGTGTGTGTGTGATTTTCCTTCCAGCTTTTCACTGAGTACGGCAGACTGGCAATGGAGGAAACCTTCCTGAAACCATTTCAGGTGAGTGAGGGTAAAAGGCTAATAAATTCTTATTAGATTTTCCTAAGACCATAACCAGGTATTTTAATTGAGAGGGTCATATTTCTTTCTCTTTTTCTTTATTTCATTCAAGAAGTGCTTTTGAATACCTATTTAATGCTATTTGATGCAAGGAGGAGATAGAAATGGAGAAATAAAAATTTAACAAATTATTTAAAAAAAGAAATGGGAAAATAAAAAGATGAATTAGGTATTTTGGTCCCTACAGGAATATCAGCTTTTCTCCCCTGAACCCAACCCTAGAGGTGTCACAGAAACCGGAAGAAAATTGATGAATTTGTCACATATAAAAGCTAAAAACAAGCAAGACTCCTGGGACAAGAGAAGGTGGTTGCAAGCCACAGCAAAAGCTGGCTAAGCACCAGAGACAGGCTGTTAGCAAGGCAAGGTTTTTAGAGATGCCTTTTTCTTTTTTACACCCTGACCTGCATAAACCATTACCTGCTCCATTGCACTGAGGTAGGTATCAGAAGAATAGCAACCACCTCAGCCTCTGCTAGGGGTGCCGGGGTAACATCAGCGCAGTAGCTGAGCTCGGGTTGGGTAGAATAAGCAGACTATTGGCCCTTCAGTGCTCCCTCCGCCCCGCACCCCCCCTTTAATAGACCAAGAACCAGGAGACTGTAACCAAGTCAAACAGCCCTTGAAAACAGTCCTTGGAGGAGGTACAGATTAAACACTGAAGACTGTCCGCCTGAAACATGCCAGCTTCAGCCTAGGCTTTCAGGGGACCCTCAAGCTGCCCCAGAATTTAGCCCCTCCCTGCAGACACACATCACCAGCCAAGGTGAATTCTGCCTGAGAGGAATGTGAGCACACAAGGAAACTGACCAACTGAAAAAGGGCAAAGAGAATTAACGGCTCAGGTGGCAAGGAGTTTAAAATGCACTGTATTAGTGATCTATTGCTGTACAACCTGTCATCCCAGAACTGTAAGAATGTATTCTCTCACACAGCTCTGGAGGGCCAGGATCTGGAGGGGCTGAGCCTGGGTTTCTCATAGTTGTGCTCAAGATGTTGCCATGGAGACGTTCTCTAAGACTTGACCAGAGGGTCCACTTCCAGGCTCACTTAGTTGCCTGCTGGCCGGAGGCTTCAGTTCCTCCCCACGTGACCCTCCCATGGGGCTGCCTGCAGCAGGCTCTCCCAAAGCAAATGCTCTCATTGCAGGAGAGTGACCAGAGAACCTGCAACCTTTATAACCTAATCTTGGAGGAGAAGACACCATCAGTGCTGCTAAATTCTGTTGGTCATTCACCAACCCTGGTGTGATGTGGGAGGGAACTACACAGAGGATGGAGATTCCAGGAAGCAGGGACCTGGGGGCCTTCTCAGAGGCAGACGACCATAAGGCATATCAAGTATTCTTAAATAAGGGATGAATAGCTCATGCTTCCAGTAATAGAAGATTAGGTAATTTGGATTAAGCTTCTTCCTGCCAATAATCACAAAAACTTGACAGAAAATTAAAAATTTGTCTGAATGAATGAGTATTAACAAGATAGTAAAAAATTGTTGAGCCCCAAGGGAAGATGGGGGCCGATGAGGGGATAGGTATTATGTAAACACCAATCGGAAGAAAGCTAATGTGGCTACTTCGTTTACTTCAAGTGAAGTAAACTTTAAGAAAAAAGCATTACTAAAGATAAAAATGGTAGTTCTTAATAATACATGAGTTGTAAGTAAACAAATTAGTAAATATGTAAGCAAATGTAAACAAACATTGTCTATATATGAAATAAAAATTTCTAGTTTATGGTAGATAAGAAAGAACCAAAATACTGGACAAAATAGTATGTACATTTTGATCCTTATATTAAGCAGGAGGAGCATTAAAATTACCTAGAGTTTAAAAGCATTTGTGTGATAGTTAAAAGTTCAAGGGTTGCCACAAGAGTAATAGAGCTCGAGTATATTGTATCCAGGGCAGTAGAGGTGAAAATGGTATCAGAAAAGAACAAACAAATAAAACACGTAAATACTGCGATCACTCAAAGAGAACAAGAGAAAAGAAAAGGGAAGCGAGGAGAAGAGGGACAGAAAGAAAGCACAAAGCCAAGAGGTACAGAGAAGGCCTTGTGCAAGTGTGGCACGACTTCAGTAAGTGCAGATTGACGTCACCAGAGAGACCATCAGTGTTTACAAACATGAAAAACCCAACTGTATGTTATCCATAAGAAACATATGAAAACACCAGAACGTGCTCATTTGAAAACAAAGGTGTGGAAAAAGATGCAGCAGGCACATAGTGAAAGAAAGCGTGGGTATCTATATAATGTGAGACTTCAGGTCAATAAACATTAGTGAGAATAAAGAAGTTCATAATCATAAAAAGTTCACTAGGAAGATAAAAGAATTCTAAATTTTTATGTCAAATAGCCCCAAAATATATAAAGTAAACATTGCTAGAGGGGCCGGCCCAGTGGTGCAGCAGTTAAGTGTACATGTTCTGCTTCGGCTGCCTGGTTTCGCCAGTTTGGATCCCGGGTGCGGACATGGCACCACTTGGCAAGCCATGCTGTGGTGGGTGTCCCACATATAAAGTGGAGGAAGATGGGCATGGATGTTAGCTCAGGGCCAGTCTTCCTCAGCAAAAAGAGGAGGCTTGGTAGCAGATGTTAGCTCAAGGGCTAATCTTCCTCAAAAATTAGAAGAAAATTGCTAGAACCATATGAGGAAATTTATACTAACATAGCTTTCCTAACTGTTCGTAGGTCAGACAAATATTAAATTAGTAAAGATGGAGAAGATGTGAAACACAGGGCTGACGCACTTGCTTTTTTGGACGTGTATACCTAACAAACAGTACACATTGCTCTTCACCGTCAGGTGCATTTACAAAAATTTACCACATACTAAGCTACAAAGCAGGGCTCCACAAATTTCAAAAGATTAAATTGGATAATCTAGTTAAAAGTTAATAAGAAAGTGCTCATTAAAAAATGCATATTTTGGGGGCCGGCCCCATGGCCGAGTGGTTATGTTTGCGTGCTCTGCTTTGGCGGCCCAGGGTTTCGCCGGTTCGGATCCTGGGCACAGACATGGCACCGCTCATCAGGCCATGTTGAGATGGTGTCCCACATGCCACAACTTGAAGGACTGACAACTAAAAATATACAACTGTGTGCTGGGGGGATTTGGGTAGGAAAAAAGCAGGAAAAAAAAAAAGAAGATTGGCAACAGTTGTTAGCTAAGGTGCCAATCTTTAAGAAAAAAAAAAAACGCATGTTTTGGAAATTTAAGCACACATTTAAAAAATAATTTATGAGTCAATCAAAATCATAATAAAAAATTGAAAATACTGAGAACTGAATGCTTTAAAAAATCATGCATGTTGAAAATTAAATGTTATAATGAAAATAGTGCTTGGAGGAAAAAAATATAGCCCTAAATGTTTATATTAGGAAACAAGGCAGAAAATTAGCGATGTAAGCACAAATTAAGAGAAAAAAACAACAGAAGAACCCTAAAGAAAATAAAAGAAAAAAGTTAGATAAGAGCTACATGCTTCAAGATGGATCAATCTTAGGAACATAACATGAAGTGAAAGCTAGTTATCTCTGAAAGACTATGTATAGTATGATGGCATTTTTAATATAGTTCAGAAATGAGCTGAACTAAACTAAATGGCATATTGTTTAAGAATACATATATATATGTCATAAAACTATATTGAAGGCAAAATTTAGGACAGTGGTTAACATGTATGTCACATATGTTATTTTGCAGTTGTCATAAAATGTTTAATCTTTAAAAAAATCAATGGTATGTCTCAAAACCAGCAATTACCAACTAGCAAATGTAAGTTTTTTAAAAAGGATAACATTCACAATAGCAAGTAAAAAAAAGCTTTGGCAATTAGCTACCAAAATATAAGACCTTTATGGAGAAGGATTCAAAGCTCTATTAAAGATCATAAAGGAAAATTTATATAACACAGATAAAATGTGACTCCAGATGGGATGATTTAATGTCGTAGAGAATTTAATTCTCCCCAAGTTAGTCAATAAACTCAGTGCAGTTTTGATTAAAATTACAGCAGGACTTTTTTTTGAGAAATCTGACACATTTTTCTGTGACTTACATGGAAGAATTAAGTTCTGTTTTGATTTGTCAGTTTTTAAAAAGGAAATCCAAACTGGAGGACTAAACACAAACTAGAAAACCATAAGAATGAAAGTGGCATGGTTCTACAGATACAAGAAAAAAGCCCAATGGAACGAAACAGTTCAAATATGTCCCTGTATACCTGGAAACCGGGTATTCAATAAAGGTGGTGTCATAAACCAGTGAGAAATGGATGGATTAATAGCTGGGGTTTGGAAAAACTGTCACTGTTTGAAGAAAAAGTTGGATTTTTACTAAACACCACATCTAGAAGTGAGCTCCAATTGGATTAAAGAATCAAGTATGAAAGTTAAAACTATAAAGCTAATAGAAGACAATACTGGAGAATTTCTTTCTGAACTGGGGTGAAGAAACATTTATTTACTAAGACTCCCCAAAATAAACCATGGTGTGAAAAATTGGTGGATATTACTACATCAAAATAGCATATTTCTGTTTATCAGATGACTCTACAAGCAAAGTGAGGGGGTGGTAGTAGATAGGGACAATGTCAAAAGTCAACAAGGGATTAATATATAGAATATATAAGGAAGTTTTGCAAATAAGTGAGACTTGGACACCAGTCAACAATCAGCAAAGGAACCACTGCACAGCTATTAGAATGGACAGATTCCAGGGCACTGACAACACCACAGGCTCCACAAATGAGGATGTGGAGCAGCAGGAGTTCTCAGTAACTGCTGGTGGGGATGCAAATAGTACAGCCACTTTGGAAGACACTTTGGTGGTTTCTTACAAAACTAAACATACTCTTACCATATGATCCAGCAGTCATGCTCCTTGGTACTTACTCAAAGGAGTTGAAAACTTAGATCCACACAAAAACCTGCTCA